GGTCTGTATTTTCATGTAATTGTAAATTACATAGATTATTGTGTTTCAATTCGTTAATTATCGTGATGCCTATTCTACATTCATTTTAATGTGGTCCCACATATGATACGTGGCAAGTAAACATGACATGGTTCTTTCATATGTGCACCTAGAAAGGGATTTCGATGCGCAGAGTGTTTAAAGACCGATCCTGGAGCAGTATTATACCACTTAGATTTTCTCTTTGTGTAAGTTCGTTCTATCCAAACATACCAAAGTGACACGTTATCCCTTAGAACTTTCCCTTGACTTTGAGCTGTGTACCAAGTGCAGCAATGCAGCTGAGCCGAGAAAGAATCCTCTCCTTTTCCCTTGGGTGCCCTACAGCAACGCTACCTAATAATCCGCTGCCCTCTATACACTGCGTACATGGCGTGGAAAGTTAGCCCCGAGACACACATGCATGGCAGCCGCTCGCGCTCCACGATAGTCCGAATAATTGTTAAGAGAACGCCATGACTTTGACTTTGAGGAGGACACGCTGCGATATCGACCAGAGCGCTCGCTATTTGCTCGACACAGGTGTTGCTAGAACGCTGCCAGCTGCGGGTGATGTGGTCGCTCTATGTCTGCTATATAGGATGAAGTCTTGGTGCTGCTGTGATGTGGCTTCTGTATGGTTGATGCTGCAATGAAATCTTGTTGCTACTGGATTTACGTGATGCTGCCTGGTATGCATTCTAGATGCCGTCGGCGATACTGTATTGGCACTGCCGGTGATGTAACAATGCGCCCACTGTCATTACACCATTAATAACAAACCTGCCTTCAAGTTTTATTTTGATGGTTGAAAAATATTTCTCATTTATTTTTTGGCAAAATCTAAATGTTTTCGATGAACCAAATAATGAGCCTGAAATGGGATTTGGTACTCGCAATTGTCACTTATTGCTTGCTCGCTGAAAAAATATGTTATCATACCAAGCACACAAACTTCAATAACTTCAGTTTCGACTCGCGAGCAACACTCGTATTAACCAACGCCAACGCCTATGCGATTCGTTTTCAGGGGCCGTGTAAATAGAGCTAACGTCGGTAGACAGAGATTTAGACTCGGCAGCTAACCTACCGGAGCTGCGCGAGTTGAACTTCCTGATTCGTAGACGCCTGGCCTGGCGTCTTCGAATGCGTTCATATAGTGTGAATCCGGTGTTGTAGAGGTCATGAGGTACGTTTCCTAGCTGTCACGGGTTCCAATTAATACCGAGTGTACACCTATCATTCATTATCTTAATGAGTACATGGCCGCTCGTAGGTGTAACGGGAAAAAAATTTGAACAGTTATCCGTAAGCTATAATGTTAGATAACTAATTGATTATTCTCGTTTGTAATTGAAGCGGTTGTTTCGTAGTAGCAAGGAATTAAATGCATGTTAAATGCTACAAACAAAAAAAGAGAATCGTTTTAGTTTCGCTTTTAATTCGGATTCATTCCAAGTGCGTACCTGAGGAAATGTAAACTTGTTGAGGATACACGATCAGATGGGCCATGAACGCCTGAGCTGTCCGTGTCCAACGACTTCCGGCGATGTTTCACTCATTGCGAGTCTGGAATCCACATTACCACCGTTCGGCAGTAGTATTTATGATTGTTGCGCCCTAAATTTATTCCGGGCAAATCTTCAGAGCAGATCTCATTCTTTAACAAGTTAAGGCGATAAAGTAAACGGAAGTATTGCTCGTTTTTGCCACCTCTACTCCTGTTCTCCTCTAAGCTTGATTAACACAAAGATCTTTATTTAAATCACGTGCATTTTTTGGAACTATAAACTTTTCTGCTGTTCAAATTTTAAAAGCTTCGAGTATGTTTAGTTGGGAACAGCGCTAAAATTACGTCCACTAATTTTTGTTGAACACGACACGGGAAAGTATTTGAATTAGGTGTTACCCACGCACAGCCGGACACCCAAAATTGATCCACGTCTTGCTTGTGTAACTAGCTGTTCCGCCCAGAAACTTTCGCTCGCGTGCCACTTTCATCGCTGAGAAAACTTAAGATCCATTTTTGCACACTCATGGCCTACTGTGCAACGCACTTATTTTCGACTTTCAGTTTGGAAGGAAGGCTTTTACATCACCGCCCTATTATTGGCTAGAGGACGTTGAGCAATTAACGGTGAGGCAGGCTGAGCTTTCTCTGACTCATGTCTCGCCTCGTAGATGACGAGGGTCCCCTTGCATTCATCAGTTTCCCTTCATATGATCGTTGATAAGGTAAAGGTTCCGCGCCTATATATATACGGAAATTTATTTGGATTCCTAAAACTATCTGCAATGCATGTTCCGTTTTAAGCCTGACTACCACCGCTGACATGGCACTATTGTTATTTGCTAATGGCGTAACAATATACGCAGAATTGAATTTGCAAATGGAATTGAATTTAATTAATCGAATGAGACTATCCAACTATTCCGTCCAGTAAAATAAACAGCATATACTCTTCCGCATTGAATTAATTCAAGTAATGGTTGCATGCTGGGGCTAAATAATTATTAAAGATATTTCTTCATTGAAAATAATCATAATCTGATACCGATTACTTGTTGCTATCTTTGCTTGCTTGTAACTTTCAGGAGCTGAACATCGACTTCCAGTTTGGCTAGGATCTTTCGATGTTTCACAAATGCGATTACAGTTTTAGGCTGAGTCACATACCTTAGTTGATTGATTTTTAAGAAGGTGAAGGGCATTGCATTCTTACCAAAAGGTATACATCATTGTGTAGAGCTTACCATGCTATTCCAGGGCAGTTTCGAAAAAAAGAAAGTGGTTGAATCGAAGAAATACCTCGTAGAGTTTTTTCCTTGCGGCATATGGGCGCTGTGTGAGCATGTCTCGCGAAACTCTTACTTGAGCTTTCTTTTTGAAGAACAGATAGAAGGTTGTGTTGGCAAGCGTGATAAGGTCAGCGCTGCATAGCGTGCAACGCGGAAGCAAGGGATTCTTTCTCCGAGCCGGAGGCGACCGACCACCTACCAACCGGTTTGTTAGGTTGTGTGTGCGAGTGTGTGTGTACGTGGCGCTGTGCTGGAACACATCCGCGCGCTGGTTGAACCTCTCGGTCGATAGAGAAAGCATCGGTCGAATAGAGGTCAAGTTCAGGACAGCTGAAAGTCAAAGCCAAAGCTACACGTTATGCTCGGAATTCGTGTTACTTGGGGACCAGCTCTTGAGCCTAAGTAGGTTGCTGCACCTATTTACCGTTGCTTGTCTTATTTACTCTTCGCCGTCTATAGAATAGTCGAGGAGAATAGCCTACTCGACTGAGGTGGTTTAGGGTCCATTGCCGCCACCCGTTGGTTGATTTTTTTTTGTCGATACGCTGTGGAAAGGTGAAATTTAATTTTAGAGTTCAGATTTAAGTTGGAGTGTATCTAGTATCTGAATCTATCGAATTAAGCTTCACACGAAAAAATGTTATTCCTCCTCGAAAACTTTTTTTACTCGAAGTCTTACTGTTAGTAGCAAGGGCTTTTATTTCTACGGCTGCATGACATCACAATTGTTGTCGCCGTCTCATCAGTGACAGTAAGACGGATCAACATCGCCTGGATGTTTAAAAAAATACATTCAATAAATTCATGGGAAGTTGCATCGGTTTCAAAGAAGGTTGCCGTAAGGCTGTAAGCAAAAATAGTTCATAATGTGCAGGTGCGTTGCTGAAGCACCTGGTGAGGTTATCTTCCCACTGGATCGATTAGGTGAACTTTATAGTGTAGAGGAAGGCGAGGTGCCTTCTGTTGTTGCCCAAGTAGCGCCTTACGCTCCTGATATCTTCGCCGTTCAGGACACGCTGAGTTCCCTGCTGTCTGCTGACGCAGAAGAAGCTGTGTCGCGCAGCTCGTTGCGATGTACCAGGCAGTACAATAGACTAAATCGGTGGTGCTACAGTCTGCGATGTTCTAGGGTCTCGATGAAACGTGCTGTTGAATATTCTGGGAATAATCATCATGATACAATTTCATCTCGCGAAACGAATTTGTCTAAGCGTAACAAGACGCACACACGCAAGGAAGAGGAAGCCTATCGAGGTACACAAGCTCAGTACTAGCTTAACTAGATGCAACCCACATATTATCAGCAAAATAAGATACACACGCTTAGTAACAGCGTAACAGTCTGAAACCCTTAGTATTATGATGAGCATAACTAGATGAGCCCTCTCATGGTGTCACCAACGCTGAATGCCTTGATGCTCCAAATGCGTCCTGACGCTGCACACGCACTATACGCACTCTTGGTGCATAACACGCTTCGGTTGATCTATACACGCACACACGAAGCCTCAGTGTAACGAAAGTCACGGCCAGACTATCGTGTCGCCTGTACTTGCACTCTAGTTGTGCTTTCTCTGCATAGCTCAGTCGTTCATGGCATGTTTTTTCCTCTCCGGCCCTGAAATTTCTCTGTAAAGGCCGCCTATGCAAAATATGCACACCATAAACCGATGCTTGCGAACGTTTTTGATTACAGAACATTATTATTCTTGTTTTTGCTTCGTGTTGCTCGATTTCATTAGTTCTACAAATTTCATTATAAATATTAAGTCCATTATAATCTATTTTTTGGTATTAAAAGTGCTTATGTTTTGTAATTTGGGGAGACAAAATTAGGAACGGTTCGAGGATTCAAGCTTACCTTAAATTCCGGATACTTGAACTTGACACGTGTTTTGTTTTTAAATATGACACTACTCGTAAGGATATTCGCGAGTGTCAATTAGACTTTTGATCATTCGTGATATCTTAAATGATTAGAACGGTAGTAAAAATTCATAAATCTAAGCTATTTGGGCCATATTCTGGACACAAATGAACTTTTTAAACCGGATCTGCAAATTCACTTCTTCCTCCTCAGTTTCTCTTTCAATTGTTTGTAAAAAGTTACTATATGTTGAATCTTACTTTGAAATCAACTTGTTATAGTAACTTATTTATCTGATGATTATTTTGACGTGATCTTTCTCAACAGTCGTGTTAATAGATTAGTGATGGAATCGGATTGAATTTTTAGTGCACACAAAAAAAAGACTCGTGATGCGATCTACAATTTGCCTGTGAGTAAATATCGCGTATAAATGTGCATGCAGAATGGAAGCCCTGTGTAGAGAAATCCTTGCCCGCGAAGTACTACCTTCAGCAGACCCCTCAGGGCCGCACCAGCGGTCAATTCATGAGCCTTCAAGCCTTCCCCGATCTTTGGTGGATACCTTCAGCTTCAACGCCTCGGCTCCCATCGCCTTCGGCAAGTACGGGGGAGGGGAGTCAGGCGGTTGCCATGCCAGGTCACTCGACGAGGGCCCTCCGAATTTTTGTTCACGAATGGAGCACGACGATGTGCCTTCAACGCGACGCTTCACCAAACTAGAAAACGATGATCTTAGCTATACCCATGCTGTCAACCCTAATGAGATAACCAGCGACCGCATACGAAAGAAGAACCCACGCATCAACGGCGACTTAAATTCCGAACGCCATTATTCTAATTCTCTGGATTTCACCAAAATGGACCACGATGTTATCGAGCCAAACCAAACCAACTCTTATGAAATGCTGGACCACGAAGATGCTCTTTATTTACGATTTACTTCGGACAGTCCGGAATTTTCGTCTTCACTCACTGCCGTTGGTGGCGCTACTCCTCACTCGACCAATGGTCCATCGGGCCTCCACGCGTTCAAGGATGGGCTTCCCGACGACGATCTCAGAAACGACTCCATGGATTCGTCTTCTCTCCGACTTGATGCTGCAGATTCAATGGTAAAAGATACCTTCGAAGTTAATAGTTATTCTCACCCCATGAGCTCTCATAAGTCAAGGACATCATCAGGAGATGTTCTCTATACCCAGCATGGTCCCAGAATGGATGCGGTGCTTATGGGTGATGTTTCCTCGAGCAGCGAAGTCTCGTTTATCAACTGGCAGACGCCCCCTGAACAGGTTTGTCAATTTTCTTCTACATTGGATGGTTTGAACTGGTCGCCTGACAAGTCTGCCTTTGGTCATAAACTGACGAATTCTTTCAATTGGTTCTGGTCACTACTACTCACATTCTCATCTCTTCTAGTTACGACTTGCAGAATGGGTATTTTGGTTTGAAATAGAGGCTCTGTTTCATTAATAGCTTTTGATTTGCAACATAAAATTCCAAAGAATAATCTTCCTGAACGACCATGATCCAATGAGTTTTAGTTACTGACATTAGATGCTCCCTATTTATTCATAACTGTATTAGAAAAATTCTAGAGACGGCTAAGTTATTATTGCCAAAATTTAGGTTACCAAAACCTTCATCAATAACAGTTTTGTATTACGTGCCTTAAAATCAAATTGCACACTCCAAAGTTGAATAAGTAAAACAAGCACAAGTCATACGTGGCAATTCTCGAACTACAAGTCATTTGGGTTTCATTTCACGTGCTCTTTTCCAGCGAATGCAGCATCTTCAGACAACAATTCACTAACAGAGCCAACGGATGGTAATTTATTCTACTTCGCCCATTTCCCAACATTACGCGATACTCTTTACCGGCAATGACTTGGAGCACAGAAGCAGTAAGTGAGTGCTACATTAAAATACGTGGGTTCATCGAGTCCATTTTATGCGTGGTATCTCTCGGCATTGGGTCCCGCGGGCCTGCACCCTTCTTGGCTTTGGTCACGACGAGACGCAGGTCGTGAGTCCCAACCATCAGCGTCGGAGTAAGTCGTGATTCAATTGAAACCTAACCAGGTATATGAGCGGCCACCTAATGACTGGAGATTTGCTGCTCATGTTCATACCACGTTTCTTCTGAATTGACGAAGAACGTCCATGTATCTCTATTCTGTGTATGTTCTTCTACATGGTGTATGCATTTGTTGCTGGTGCATGTAATGTAACTCTGTCTCAGATTTCGATGAACGCAACAAATGCATTTGTATTGTTGTGAAAAAAATCGATGTTGTAGATTGTAGGTTTATTAAATTTCCGCCTGTTGGGTTATTGGTTTAAGAGGGTGTCAATTTTCAAACGTGTAATTGATTATTTTCTCCTTTCAAAAAATTGAATTAATTGTTTATATATTCTGTGAACTAAATGATTATTGTTTAAGATTTACCGCAAACTTTGACGCTGATTTGTGTCGGCATTGTCAGGATTGCAAAATTCTTCGTCGACAATGCACTTTCAATACATATATGGGCCGGCATGGCTGCTACACTGTACAGTGTACAGCTCGGCCTCCGATATGACACTGCCGAACGGCGTCGTACGGCGACACGCCGAGCTCCCAGGAAAACGCAACAATGACCGGTGCCACGGTGCTAAGTAAGCGCTGGCGGCGAGCGGCCTCTAATGTGTTTATTTTTTTGACTGGGTTTTATCCATTTTGTTTCTGATTGATGGTACTTCCCAGATCATTACAACCATTGTGTAGGTAGTAATTGAGAGGGAACATTACCAAGTTTGACACACAAACGTTTTTTCAATCGTTTTTAATGTTTACAAGTAGTCACAGATCGTACGTTGTCTTACATTTTTGTCTAAAATATTTGAATAAAACCAAAAACATACATAAACGAGTGGCTTTCCCTCCACATAAACTTGTTTCAAAATCAGTGACCTGGATTCCTATCGTATGAGAAACGTAAAGATCTAAGTATATTAAGGCTGTGGTTGAAATGTTTGCTCATAGTGCAACCCTCGGCAGAGGGTAGACATTTATCATGTGCTTTCAATACCACCGGACTTGTTATAGTTCAACAGCAGACATTCTCTAATGGAATCGACGTTAAACAACCTCCATGCCCAACAAGGGTTGAGGTGAATATAACAAAATATAACTCGGTACTCAATGCAGTGAGTGACAGAGCGCATTTTCTCGTCGACGAAAACGTGAAGTCACGGACGGACGGACGGACATGGCGAGCACAAAAGCGTATTTTCTCCATAAATGAGAAAACGCTCTAAAAGTAAAAGCAACTCGTCATTATTGCTACGTATTTTAAAAGAAGTTAAAAAACATTGAAATGATGTAACCCGATCGTGCCACATTGTTCCAATCGAGAAATTATTGCAGTTAAATCGCATTGATAGCGTTATTTTTGAGACTTTAATTGATGTCCTAAATGAAACTTGCGTTGATATTAAACCGGATTTATTATCATCTCTTTCACATTTTTGAGCATTTTTATTACTAGTAGCTACAGTAGAAGCTAGATGCCGATGCTATTGAACACCATATATGTGTAGACTTACTTTCAACTTTCTGCCGAAATAAACTTGTACCGTACCAGGGATCGAACCCTCAACTTTTAACTCTGTGCGACGCCGTATTACACTCGGTCGCGGTGAAATTTGCTTACTTAGTCAATTATGAGTAATTTGGCCCTACTTTTATTCTTCTTGTATATAATTTTATTTATGGCATCTATCTACACTGTTCTTTACAGAAGTAACGCAGTAATTAAATACCGAGTTATCTTTATCCTGTTCATGCGTAAAAATTTTCTATCTATTTTTGTTTCCTTTTTAAATCAGCTTTTTGTAAGGAATTCATACAAGCATAACGGCTAAGAATTTTATTGAAATTTTAGAAGGTAAACTTCGGCTCCAGCGAAGTAGAATAACGGAACTGCACTGGATGCAGTTTAGGGAACTGAAAGTAGAAAAAGAGACTTTGCTAAATAAATGCCGGAACTTGAGAAAGAGTTTATCAATTATGCTCAGTAATTCCAATTTAGCGGTACAAAACTTGACAGTGAACACATATTCCCAATCTAACCTCAAATGAAATAACGCGTACAGCAGAAATAATGTCGCACTGGCTGCACTGGAGGCACGAAACACACGGCAAAAGAGATGCGACGTATGAGAATACACCGGAGGAGGAGGTTATACTGTAAATTGACAGTTACAAACCAAGATTAGATTGATCAGCAAGTGCTATTATATCGTATGCAATTTATCATTATGAGGATCAAGATATATTGAGCAATTTATACAAAATCAAGTTTAAATATTTCGAGACTAACCTTCTAATTTATTACCGCTGGGGTAAATTTAGAAGTGGCTTGAAAGCCGTTTAGAGGTAGGTGTTTGCAAGTGCAATTGAGTGCATAGGTTAGTATATTAATAGATGACTTGGTAGACCCAACGTGATTAAGTTAATAGGGTTAAAGCGCCACAGGGCGTAAAGTTGATAGGCTCGAAAGCCGGCAATACTGCCAAGTTTAATTAATGCGTCAGAGACGTCTTAAGAGTTGGGTCAAACCAAATAGTAACGTGGCATGCATCAACTTGATAAAGGGCCCATAGCATGCATTAATTCAAAAAGATGATAGGAAGCGAATTGCACTCTAGTCACTGCGGGCAATACAGCAGCCTAGAACACCATTTAAGTCACCTCCGTATCACATAAGCCAGTCAAAAGTTGAGCCTTTAATGCTTCAAAATTTCTCTCGAAATCGACACTTAATCTAACTTAATCTTTATTGTCTCCGTTACAGTAAAAAGGAACCTAATTTTAATTAAATGGAACATGAATCAGTAAAATTTCTAATAGTTTCACGACCTTTTCGTCCGTTAATACCACTTGTAGGTCTAGTGCAGTCGCGAGGTAAGGACCAGGTACATGCTTATATCCTGCTAACTAATAACTAATATTAGCCGTTAATAAGCTGCATTCTATGTAATTTTTCTTATTAATTCGTTGTTTAAGGAAAATGTGAATCATTTATAGCCCATATGCGTTCGCGCACTACCTGGAATAGCATCAGCATGATTAACTATTTTCCTATTTCTTCTTAAACTATTTTGCTAATACAGGTCAAGCTGATACGTGCTTTTTGAAGTCGAAATACAACATTGAGGTGGAAACGTTGCAATGTTGAGGCAGCTTATGAACGTCGAAATCGAAGTTAAATTCAGTTGGTGGAAGAATTGACTTGGAACGAAGTGGGAATTGGACGAGATGACGAGTATAAATAATCTAACGTGGTGTGATGACACTAGTTTAACGTTTAAATTTTGTTGTACATGTATCCCAACTACCTGTATTTGGCTAAATTTTCAACTACAGTAGGACCTCGGTTAACGGCAATAATCCGTTCCAGAAAGGTTGACGCTGAAACGTTCGTTGACCGAAATAATTTACTCAAAAGAAACAACTTAAATAGAAATAATTATTGCCCAGCCCTTCTTGACTTGGTACCTGTATATAAAAGATACTGGCTATATAGGGATATTTATTATATGAGAACAGTTATAAATGGAGCTAAATGAACATGGAAACCGAAAAGAAGGAAAATCATGGCACTATTGCTTGGAGGAGGAATCACCCTTCAGGAAAACATCGGTAATTAACCGATGCCTTCGTTAACCGAGGTTCTACTGTAGTACCTGAGATTGAAAATTTTATTAACATCCGACAATCGAAAATTGACGTAATTATGGCCGTCTCGTGTCTCACCCTCTATTGGTTACTGTTCGACGTCGATTCGATGTTGAATTCGCCGAACTCGTAATGAACGTTTCAACGTATTTTGCCTGCCGGGTCGATACATTCTGCGTGTTTTATTGAGGAATTATTAACAAAAAATTTACGAGGATATTGCTGAAAATATGTCTCAGAAATTCACGGAAGACGTGTTGTACAATGCATGCCAATTATGCCTACGCGTGCCAAGTCATTATTGAAACGACAATAGAAGTTGAAGATAAGAGCTCCGTAAGGCCGCAAATCGAAAACGGTAGCACAACCATACAGTTTTTTGAGTCAGCACTGTTAGATACCTGACTTGATGTAACGCCTAAATATTATTTAACTAATTTAATAGCACAAAAATATGCACAAGGAGTTGGATCAACCGTTTTCGTCTGAGCCGCATTCGATCGTCGATTGAAATTGATCTACCTATGATAATATCTAAATTGAAGTTTGTTTGGGCTGAAATGCTGGTGAATAATCGTATTAATATGTTCCAGAGAGACTGTAAGGTATACGTAATAATGTTATAAGACATTATAATGTATTAAGTTTGATGAGGCACGAATTTGTCGCTTTTTGTTTTCCAAGAAATTTTTTACGCTACGATTTGTGCCAACGCTGCTGCCGGCAGTTAGGAGGATTGGTGGACTCAGCCCCTGCCGGTGGTTGACGAATTTGTAATGCTGCTGTCGGTTTAGATGTATTCCGGCAATTTCCGTTCATCATAAATCGGTGAGCTGAAACTGCCTGTTTGTCGGCAATGAAATGCTGGAAGCAAGATGGTCGAAAAAAGGCAAAGTCAGCGGACAAAAAAGGCCTATAACTTAATATATACTAGTACCTATATTTGTAGGTTCCGGTGTCGCAATCACATATTGTTTTTTTTTTCGCACGTTTTAAAATAAAAAGTGAAGTACCGCCATCATGAATTTTAGCCTGCCAACGCTGCTGAAAAAAAAATAAATTGCGAAATTTGTCCAAAAAAAATATCGGACAACCCTAAAGGTGCTTGTACACGGGGATAGTGCAGGCGGCCAGATCTGCAGGCGGCTGCAGATCTGGCAAGTGTTGCTCGCTTGGTGACTATCCGGCTAGTAAGCCGGTACACACGTGGAGAGTAGAAGGTGACGCTATCTTCTCTTTCGCGCCCGCCAGTGCGTCATTAGAAGCCGTCGAGTGAGGTCTGCGAAGATGGTTAGTGGATCACCTTCAACAACTCGATTCTGAACGTCGTTTTTATACTTTTTATTCTAGCCCTTGAAAATGCAGCGTCGGGAACAACTAAACCCTGACTAATAAGGTCTTCTTTCCGTTTCAAAATACTCGTTTCTCCCTTCATTTTGTTGGAGTAACCATCATGGAAAACATTATACTTTTGCATATCTTTGGAATATTTAAAAAAAAATTGAATATCGTCTTGAATCCACTTAGTTTGTTTCTTCTTAGAAACATTATCGTTCAAACAAGCCATGATTCACTTGACCCAAGATACTTCGCAAGAGCGGCACAGATGCTCTCACCATGGCTGCATCAGCGCTACTAGCCACTTCTCCAGCCAAGATATCAACACATCGTTGTCCCGCTCGGCCGCATCTCGGGCACTTGCCGGCGCATGCCTCTGAAGCGGCTGAACCCCTATACACGAGGCTAGTAGCGTGGACAGTTCATGCGCCGGATGAACTAGCGGCTAGTACTATCCCTGTGTACAGGCACCTTAATGCTCATAGTGCGCAAGAAACGCCGTAAATTGGCGCGTACTGACGATATCAGCTTAACTCAATGCCGAAGTCAGAGGTGATTCATAACTGAGTTCAGCTCTTTTCTGACCCACACTTTTTTGTCCCGTGAGTCTTGGTTTGTAAGATTTCTGTGTTGCCGCATTCTTATCCAACGATTGTGGAGATTTGACTTCGTACAACTTGGGCGTATGACTGCATATGAAGGTCATTTAACTCGACGCCATTATCTCTCACGGAATTAAGTACAACGTGGCGAATGGCTCGGTAGAGTTCATTCAACTGGACGGCTGACCCTGCTTACTGCTCGTATAAGAATTAAGTTGGCCCTGGCGATCTCCTGACTGCTGAGCTTCCACGTTAATTAAGTAGCGCTCTCGGTTAACAGTTATCAGTTTTACTGAATTGTACAGTATTGAATAGTGCTGCAGATTCAGAGTGTGATGCATGCACTACCCTGTACCCTAATGTTGTAGTTCGTGCTGGCTGTAGGCTGCTTGTTGTTGGTGAAGACACGGTGTGAGGGGATGCCTGCTGTTCGCTGAGGGTACAGGCATGGGGATTGTTGCTGAGTCTACGGTCTTCATTAGCGCTGCAGGTACAGCATTCTGGCTATACGCTGTACTTTAATGGATGGTGTATGTGGCGTGGTGATGGCTGTACGCTATACTTAACTGGTGAAGGCAGTGTTGTGCTGGCTGTACCCTGTTCGTTAATGGTGTAGGTGGTTCTAGTTGCACCTCAGTGGTGTAAGTAGTTCAAATAGATTTTTCGCCGTTTAAAAAAATCTTTACAAGTTTTTAAGTATAATTCACGACAAATTTTTTAATGATGAATAAATTTTGCTTGGTTTTCTCATTGGTTCTTGTTTGCAGATGCGCATAATGGGTGGCGGGAGCGGCGCGGGTGGAACAGGTGTCGGAGGTAGTGGAGGCGCGACTATGATGTCGGTGGAAGAGACTGGAATTAAACAAGAGGATGGAATGTTCAGCGGTCTTGCAGCGAACGGTGGAGGAGGAATATTATCCAGTGCCCCCGCCACGCCCACCACGCAACTCATCCACCATCACCTCCAGTCGAGCGGGCATTCCCCTGGTGGAAGACTCCACGTCAACAGCACCGGAGGAGGGCCTCTTGCTTCCACCCCTGATGGAAGGAACAGAGCTCCGTCCTGCAGCTCTCCTTCAGGCCGGTATTCGCCTTCCACCACTGCGCTTCCTTCTGAGGTAATTTGTGGCAGTTGTGAAGAATGTGTTTTTTGCCTCGTTTCATCACTAACTGTCATTCTTCCATCAAATAATTCACTATTTTCAACTTCAAGCTTTATTGAAGTCCATCACGTTTTTTTGCTTCTTCCTATCATATGATTTATTTATTTTCCCTGGACGATTTATTTCAGTCTATTACGAACCGTGCTTCAACCAGTCAAAAAGTTTACTCTTTTTCTCCAGAAGTTTTATTTTTCTTCACTCTTTTTGCTTCCTGCTTTCAACTGATCACTTTCCCTCCATCAATATATCTACTTATCTCTATAAAAAGTTCCAATTATCTTCGGTCAAAATCAAGTTTTCTATATATATCTTCTTCCCTACATCAACTAATATACTTTTTTCTATCCACAAATCAACGTTCCATCAACAGACTCATTTATCTTCATCCAAACGCCTACTTTTTGCATCAAAGTATCTAATTTTCTTCATAAAATGTCCATTTTCACCATCAAAATATCAACGTTTCTTCATTAAAATGTTTCCTTTTGTCCCTCAATTTTTCAGCTTGCACATGTCTACTTTTATTTATAAAAATGTCTCCTTTAATCCATTAAAATATTTTTCGTTTAAAAAGGGAAGGAATGGGAATTGATCACTCACTTCTATTAAACGATCACTTCTCGCATTGAAATATCAACGCCATTTATTGCCAAATTTTGAACTCTGTAGTATGCACGGCAACGATAGTACTGGTAGTATATTGGCAAGGGATGTGTGGGCGCGGTACGGAGGTTAAAAAGGTGAGCCAAGGCGAGGTAGAGAGGTTAAATTGTCGAGAACTTGAACAAAGTGTGCAGGTCTTTCGTGACCGGAGATATGATTCTTCACGATGACAATCAGCGTTGAGAAGTTGCAATAGTTACAAGAATATAACAGGACTATTTGTTAGACTCCTGCGTTTGGTATTTTTTTATCCGAGACGAGACAACAGGCTCTGTCCCTGTTCGCAATGAAAACCGGGACAATTTTCAGCCCTCCGTAGGAATTCCGGGACGATACCGAGACGAGACGAGACATCCCGGTTAAAATATGTACCTTAAAATTTCCCGGAATTTGTAGCCATTTTAACGAGACGAATCAATTATTGATGTGGTGTAAACTTTGGCTTACCATCATACATTTATACAGAGCTGGGCAGCGCTACTTTGAAATGTAGCGGCCGCTACCGCTACATGCTCTAAATGTAGCGGGCGCTACCGCTACCGGTACAATTGCTTAAATGTAGCGCCGCTACCGCTACCGAAAATGTAGCGGCCGCTACACGTAGCGCGCTACTGCCCATCTCTGGTAACAACTAACATGTTGACACTAGTAACAGGCTGAGGTTGACAACATTACACCGAAATCTTTCGTACAGTTTTATTCTGTAATTTATATTATGTATGTATCATGCAGGTCTTTAAATAGTATTTAATACTTACTATTAAGTAAAATCTAAAAACTTTATCTATAAATGTAGCGGTAGCGCTGTAGCGGCAAAACCTCGTATCGCTACTTATATATGTAGCGGGCGCTACCGCTATCGCTACAATTGCTTAAATGTAGCGCCGCTACCGCTATCGCTACTGAAAATGTAGTGGCCGCTATAGTAGCGGCCGCTACATGTAGCGCGCTACTGCCCACCTCTGCGTGTATATAATAACTTGAGACGTATCCTTTCACTATTCTGATTGGAGCTCGGCAATTGAAATGATTTTTGCTACGAATACATGTTGTGGTTTAATATGGTACTTAATCTTGACAGGCAAATGATGGTTTGGAGGAGGCCATACTAGCTGTAGCTGGTGACATCGGCTGACTGGACAGACTTTGATTTGCCTCCAGCTCAATCACAGAATCAGATTCGTCGATCTTGCCTTAAGCAATCTCCTTCAACAAAAAGTTTGGAAAGAAATATCAACAACATTTTAAAATACAACAAAATTTAAGTTGGAAAAATATAATAGTTTGATCTTCGAGAAAGAGCTCGAAATATCCACGTGTATCCTTTCTAAATAACGTTAAACAAGCCCAAGTGTTTGATAACAATTCAGGAAACTGCGCAATTGTGAAGATTTCCTGGAGGCGTAGAACGAAATTTTACTAAAAGCAGAGATAATCTAATACTAGATTGTCTACCCATGTTTTCGAAATGATTCGTATCGTAATCGAAAACTTTTTTTTTCTTAAATAATTAAGACGAATCTCGTCTCGTCTCGTTATGTCTCGTTTCAAATCTGTCTCGTCCCGGTTCATAATTTACCGGGACACAAGTTTTAAAGTCCGGGACAGAAGTCTTGTCTCGGTTCATACGTTTATTCCGGGACAAATTTTACCCTCTGTCCCGTTATTTTTTTCCCGGAATTTTCTCGTCTCGTTTCGCCTGTCCCGGTTCATTTCGAGAAAATTATTTCGAGACGCAGGAGTCTACTATATGTACTCTGTATATTGCGATGTAGGCCATCATGCTGCGTGTGGCATGATGCAATACCCGGCGCAGATCTGATGCAACACTCGCGTCTCGTGCCGCCCTCGGACGCTGCGAGGGCGGCTTCGACCGTCCCTCGTCAGAAGACCGCGTAGCGTCCTCGGCCCAGCACGCAGCGTCCGTTCGTCTGTTCTCTATCCTTGAGCTAATTTAGTATAAAATTTCTTCTACCGAAATTCTGAGCTAATTTCGTACCGAACTTATTATTATTCATGTGATCGTATTCTAGAGATGATTATCTATATTTGTGCTATATTTTCCATACTTCTCATCTATATATCAACTATCGCCGTAGGCTTTACCACTGAGCTACGTTAAGCCGTTTGTTGTTATTATTATTATTATTATAATGATTAGGCTTCTTACCTTCGGCGTTTATAATAGTGAATATTTTATTATTATCCCTTGCACGCTGCAATGATCTTGTACCTATGATGAATATTAAAATTATTGCATAATATCATTTAATATTTCCGGAAGCGCCTACCTAAATTTTTTTCTTGACTTATCACGATTTCTCAAAAGCATGAAAAAGTGTTAGGAAAACAGTTGTTTCATGTATATTGGTTCACGACCTGTATACTCGTTATAAAATGTACGGCATGTATGTATAGTCCTGTTGAAAATAGAAAAATTGAGTATCTCCTCCGACCTACGCAGGACCTCCGTCTTTTTCAGCCTCTCTGATTATTTTTCAACCCACCATCCGTCCAGGAAACCTCGACTGAAATACTTAACAAGCTTACCACTGAATCGTATAAATTAATCGCCCACTGTATTAATGCTAGCTGTCTGTACGAGTGTTTATACAAAATATCAAACGTATTCTCTTTCTTTTACTAAAGCCTCACCCAAATGCTTCCCCGAAGTAGCGGAAGTACCGTCTTCTCCGCCTGTATTCGCTTGCCTGGCTACGTTTGTTCATTCCGTACCTTATTTCCGCTGAGATCATTTGTCGTGATTTTGGGCTCATCTCGGAACCAAGTCCCCGATCTTGCGCCTCCACGTAACTCTGACTGATGGCGAGGCAGCCGAAGTGTTCCTTCTCACGTGGCCACTCCAGCAGATGCATTATCTCTCGAAGCCGTTCACAATCTTTCCATCTCGCGGGCTAACAAAATTACCGCGCTACATGCGCGTGATTTACTTCTTTGTTCCCAAATAAAATTTGTAATAATTTGCACTACTTTATTCTCTTAGTAGTAATGAAACTGTGGTTTTCGACTCTGAGAAATCAAAATTCTCGCCATACTGAATCCGTTTATCCTACTTCTTGGAACTCTTGACTCTTCTTTCTTTCTGAAATCTCGCATCTCTTCTTTACTGGAAATTCCTTTCTAGTCTGTTGTGCAAGTCTTTCCTCTATTCTGTTCCGCAAGCCTGAATTTGGCCTAGTCTATATTAGATTACTAACATTCATTCTTTCAGACCAGTCTGACCTGTCTAAAACTAGAGACAAAGACCAGTGTTCCCTGTTCTCTGTACTTAAAGTCTCTTGTCTTTCCTCTCTATATTCTCTCCATACGTTCGTACTTTGTCTTATACCTTCTCTTCTCTAATGGAAGTAACCCCCTTTATTCTTTTCTGTAAGCTTCAATCTTATTCTGCTCTACATACCTGCTCTTCCTTGAAAGGATCCCCTGTTTAGTTTACTGAATACCTTATTGCAGAATGCCCCTCTATATTCTGTACTGCTAGTCCCCTCATTCTTTACTTGATGGCTACTATATCTTTCCTCTCTCGTCTCCTCTCCATGCTGCCCTGGAAGTTTTACCGTTCGTCTGTGCTGAAATTTTATTTTTTCTCAGTATTGAAAGTCTTTCCATTGGTCTGTACTAGAAGTCTCTTTTCTCTTCTGCACTAGAAGCCTCTCGCCCCTCTTACATTGAAAGTATTCGGCCTCTTTTGTGCTAGCATCGAGTTTAACTTACTTTCTCTTCTGAAAGTCCCCACTATCTAGAGGTTCTTTCCTTGTCTCCATTTAAAGTCTCTGTCATATTAATTTCTCAAATTTTTCCTTTCTCCAGTCTCGGAAGTCTCTCCTCTCTGCAGTCTTCGAAGTCTCACCTCAACTCTCTGTCCTGAAAGTCTCTCCTCTCTGCAATCTTGCAAGTCTCGTCCCTCTGTCCTGAAAGTCTCTCCTCTCTGCAATCCCTCTGTCCTGAAATTCTCTCCTCTCTGCAGTCTTGCAAGTCTCACCCCTCTCTCCTGAAAGTCTCTCCTCTCTGCAGTCCCCGAAGCCTTACCTCTCTTCAGTCTCTGAAGTTTCTTCTTTTTCAGACTCGGAATTTTTTCTTCTCTTCTCTCCTGGAAGTAGCACTTCTCTTGCTCTTTTCCTTGTACTGTAAAGTCTTCCTCTCAATTGTACGGTGAAGTCTCTTTTGTAATGGACATTTCTCGTTTGTTCTATGCTGTAGTCCACTCTACGGCGATGAAATTCGGTCCCTGACATTATTGCATTTTGATCTCCACCGCATGCAGTAGCTGA